AATCAGATTGGAGAGAAGAAGACGAAATGTTAGGGAATGTTGAGGTGACTGAAGAGGATTAGCAAGAACCTGTGGTTCCGGATGAAGAGTTGCTGGACAAATTTAGATCTGGTAGTGGAGAAGAAGATGACTGCCTTGGCCTTAATCTTGAAGTTGAGTTTAGGAAGCCACACTTTGAGCTAAAAGTGGGGCAGAAGTTTACTAATTTTAGAGTGTTTAGATCTGTGTTGTGTGAATGGCTCGTAAAAGAGAGTTATGAAGTTACTTGGGTGAAAAACTATTCCAAGAAAATTATTGTCAACTGTGCAAAAGGTTGTAGTTGGAGGATTCGGGCAACACCAATTCAAGATGAATCAACCTTCAAAATAAAGTCACTGAAGGGTGAGCATGTGTGTGCTCGAGAATATCAAAATAAGCATGCAACAGCCACATATCTGAGCAGCAAATATCAAGATAAGATCAGGGATAATCCAAAAGTTGATTTGATGGGGTTGAAGAATGACATAAGAAGAAATTTAATGATCAATGTGTCAATTGCTAAGGTTGGTAGAGCTAAGCGTAAGGCAAAGGATATGATGCTTGGCACAGAAATGGAGCAGTATCAAAAACTCTGGAGTTATGCCATCACCGTTCGAGACACAAATGTTGGAAGTACTATAAAAATTCAGATTGACAAACCACCTGATGGTTCAACGGGTATATTTCAAAGGTTATATTATTGCTTGCATGCCTGCAAGAAGGGTTTTCTTGATGGTTGTAGACCAATAATTGGTCTAGATGGCTGTTTTCTTAAGACAACATTTGGTGGACAATTATTGTCAGCACTTGGCAGAGATGGCAACGATAACATGGTGCTAATAGCAATTACAGTGGTAGAGGTAGAGCGGTATGACTCCTGGAAATGATTTTTGGAGTTGCTAATGGCTGATTTAGGCATGGGAAGAGATAACATTCCTTAGACCTTTATCTCAGATAGACAGAAAGGGCTTGTGCATGCCGTCAATGAAGTGTTTCCATATTCAAAACATAGATTTTGTTTGAGACATATGTACCAGAATTTTAACCAAATGTTCAAAGGAAAGGAAATGAAAGACATGTTTTGCGCTTCTGCAAGTGCTGGCAATGAAAAGGAATGGAAAGTGGCAATGATTGAACTAGAAAATGCAAACAAAGAAGCTGCTGACTGGTTGAGCAGAATTCCATCAACTCTTTGGAGTAGATCACATTTTACTAGAAGTAGTAAATATGACATTCTGGTAAACAATCTAAATGAGTCATTCAACAACTACATATTAGAAGCAAGAGAGTTACCTATCATTGGGATGCTTGAATGGATAAGGAGGAGATTGATGCAGAGAATTCAAACAAAGAGATCTGGAATGCAAAAGTTTCAAGGAGAAATCTGTCCTAATATAGCAGAAAAAATTGACAAGAATCAGAGGTTGAGTAGGACATTTGTTGCGACCTGGGACGGGGGTCACAAGTATGAGGTTGACTGTGGTGTGAGAAAATGTGTAGCAGTAAACTTGAAAAATTGGACATGTACCTGTGGGTATTTTCAATTAACAGGTTATCCTTGTGCCCATGCATGTACTGCGATAGGAGTGTGTAGATTACCTATAAAAAATTATGTGCATACTTGCTACACTAGAGCTGAATATCTGAAAACATATGCACATACTATCACACCTGTTCCAAGTGATATTTATTGGAGAACTTGCGAAGAAGAGACCATAAACCCCTCTGTGGTTAGGAGAATGCCTAATAGACCAAAGAAACTGCACCGAAGCGCAAGATGAGCCTAAGAAGGGTCAAGTATCAACTAGAAAGGGTTTTGTGGTACATTGCAAGAGATGTTTTCAGCCACGGCATAACTCACGGACGTGCAAGAATCCCATTCACCCTAACTCCAAATTTTATAAGGTAATTTTCCTTATACGCTTAAATTTCATTGTTATAGGATCTGTATGTTTTAACAATGTTAAATGGCATTTATAGGCACCTGAAGCAAGCACAGCTGAATCCATTCAATCACAACCAATTGCTGAGTCGTCCATTCAACCACAGCCAATTAGTGAAGGAGCTGTTGGTACTTGAAGTACTACAAAGTCCAGCAAAAAGGATATGAAGGTGTACACTCAACCAAGCTTTTACATTTCATGAGTTACATAAAAACATAATTGTACTGGTATACATCTAAGTTCTCTTTTTATTTTAATTGCAGCCTGTGGATGGTACAAATATGAATGGAGGTAACAGGGCTGATGGCCCCACTGCAACAGTAAAAAGAGCCAGAGCTCCAACTGTTACTGATGTCCTGCGAAAGTTAAGGCCAAAGAGATCAAAAGCCTATGAAGGCTTAATTACCTGCCAGAATAGTGGCCTAGCCGTAGTTAGAATAGCTTTTGGAATATTTGTAGTTGCTGAATGAAATTGAACATTTGGTGAATCTATGTTCTGGGAACAGATTTTGGGTTGAAGTTCTTGGCAACCACTAAATTAATGTTATGTGATATGGCTGATGTGATGTTGTAGTTGCTGAATGAATCTGGAATCATTTGTTGTATATCTCTTCTGGGAACAGATTCTGTGAACAAATTTTGGTGTCTGTTATGTGAAATGGCAACTACATTTATTTTTGTCTTATTTTTCTGTCATCTATATAGGTTGTAGTTGCTGAATGAATCTGGAAACATTTGTTGTATATATGATAGCCCCACCTTCCCCTAAGGTGAACCAAAGGGGTTAGCGGACTGTCTGCCCAACTCTCGTCAGGACTAACGGTTCAGTTTAGAGCGATCTAATACGTTCTCGAACATACAAACGCGCGTAAACAAGTCAAAATCACAAAATAAAAAAAAACGAAATCGGAGCCGGTCATGGACAGTAACTGCCACGTCAGAATCCGGCAGCAAAAAAAAAATAATTTTGTTTCGTCGTTTGAAATCCGAATCTGTCCGAATTCTCACCCAACATCAATCAAACATTTATACGTTGAAATTAAGCATATACAATCCAAAATGGCATACAAAAGTTATTCAAAAGTTGATACATGTACGGTTTGTCAAATCGAAAGAGAAAACGGACCCAAAACTACATTTAGGGTTTCAATCAATGAGCTATACAAAAGATATGTCAATCTAGCTCAATTCGGCAACCAACTATCAAATCCAGTCCAAAAGTATTTATTTTCCTATAAGGAAAACAAAAGGGACAGAGTGAGCTTACGCCCAGTGGTATACTATCACTCAAGCAACCAAGTTATATAGGCATAAAGCGGTCAAGAAAGAAAAAAACCAAGATCACACATTAACAAGATGGGTAAAAGGATACGGACGGCTCTCAAGATCCCCTTTCCTCGCTCGTACTCTTGATCGGACTTCATTGATAGTTGAAGTGGAGAGTTTTCCTTTCTTTCTTCCTTGGAGAGAGCCGGCTTCAAGGTGCTTGAAATGGAGATGATTTTGGTAATTTTTTGGTTTATTTGGTCAATTGGTAAAAAAGTGAATAGTAGTCAAAATGTAAGGTTTAATCATATTGGAGACATCTTTAGCCCGAAGAAAGATGCTGTTGGAGACAGCAACTACAACAAAAAAGGTGGGGCAGGGGCAGATGGAGACATAAAAAAAGGTGATGGCACCAGTGCTTTTTCAAAATTGCCAGTGCATGTATTCTCATTTGCTGGAAAGTCAGATGAAAAAAGTTCTCCTAAAAGGGGTTCTGTGAGAAAGAAAAGAGCTAATAAAACTTCACAATATAGAGGGTCTGATGTGATTCAGGAAATTACACCACTTGTTTCATTTCAAAGGCCATCAGAAGTTGAAGATGTAAGCATTGAAAAGGGACCAGTTTCATCTCAAGGGCCATCAGAAGATGAAGCTATAAACATTGAAAAATCACCTGCAATATTTAGAGAATCAGATTGGAGAGAAGAAGACGAAATGTTAGGGAATGTTGAGGTGACTGAAGAGGATTAGCAAGAACCTGTGGTTCCGGATGAAGAGTTGCTGGACAAATTTAGATCTGGTAGTGGAGAAGAAGATGACTGCCTTGGCCTTAATCTTGAAGTTGAGTTTAGGAAGCCACACTTTGAGCTAAAAGTGGGGCAGAAGTTTACTAATTTTAGAGTGTTTAGATCTGTGTTGTGTGAATGGCTCGTAAAAGAGAGTTATGAAGTTACTTGGGTGAAAAACTATTCCAAGAAAATTATTGTCAACTGTGCAAAAGGTTGTAGTTGGAGGATTCGGGCAACACCAATTCAAGATGAATCAACCTTCAAAATAAAGTCACTGAAGGGTGAGCATGTGTGTGCTCGAGAATATCAAAATAAGCATGCAACAGCCACATATCTGAGCAGCAAATATCAAGATAAGATCAGGGATAATCCAAAAGTTGATTTGATGGGGTTGAAGAATGACATAAGAAGAAATTTAATGATCAATGTGTCAATTGCTAAGGTTGGTAGAGCTAAGCGTAAGGCAAAGGATATGATGCTTGGCACAGAAATGGAGCAGTATCAAAAACTCTGGAGTTATGCCATCACCGTTCGAGACACAAATGTTGGAAGTACTATAAAAATTCAGATTGACAAACCACCTGATGGTTCAACGGGTATATTTCAAAGGTTATATTATTGCTTGCATGCCTGCAAGAAGGGTTTTCTTGATGGTTGTAGACCAATAATTGGTCTAGATGGCTGTTTTCTTAAGACAACATTTGGTGGACAATTATTGTCAGCACTTGGCAGAGATGGCAACGATAACATGGTGCTAATAGCAATTACAGTGGTAGAGGTAGAGCGGTATGACTCCTGGAAATGATTTTTGGAGTTGCTAATGGCTGATTTAGGCATGGGAAGAGATAACATTCCTTAGACCTTTATCTCAGATAGACAGAAAGGGCTTGTGCATGCCGTCAATGAAGTGTTTCCATATTCAAAACATAGATTTTGTTTGAGACATATGTACCAGAATTTTAACCAAATGTTCAAAGGAAAGGAAATGAAAGACATGTTTTGCGCTTCTGCAAGTGCTGGCAATGAAAAGGAATGGAAAGTGGCAATGATTGAACTAGAAAATGCAAACAAAGAAGCTGCTGACTGGTTGAGCAGAATTCCATCAACTCTTTGGAGTAGATCACATTTTACTAGAAGTAGTAAATATGACATTCTGGTAAACAATCTAAATGAGTCATTCAACAACTACATATTAGAAGCAAGAGAGTTACCTATCATTGGGATGCTTGAATGGATAAGGAGGAGATTGATGCAGAGAATTCAAACAAAGAGATCTGGAATGCAAAAGTTTCAAGGAGAAATCTGTCCTAATATAGCAGAAAAAATTGACAAGAATCAGAGGTTGAGTAGGACATTTGTTGCGACCTGGGACGGGGGTCACAAGTATGAGGTTGACTGTGGTGTGAGAAAATGTGTAGCAGTAAACTTGAAAAATTGGACATGTACCTGTGGGTATTTTCAATTAACAGGTTATCCTTGTGCCCATGCATGTACTGCGATAGGAGTGTGTAGATTACCTATAAAAAATTATGTGCATACTTGCTACACTAGAGCTGAATATCTGAAAACATATGCACATACTATCACACCTGTTCCAAGTGATATTTATTGGAGAACTTGCGAAGAAGAGACCATAAACCCCTCTGTGGTTAGGAGAATGCCTAATAGACCAAAGAAACTGCACCGAAGCGCAAGATGAGCCTAAGAAGGGTCAAGTATCAACTAGAAAGGGTTTTGTGGTACATTGCAAGAGATGTTTTCAGCCACGGCATAACTCACGGACGTGCAAGAATCCCATTCACCCTAACTCCAAATTTTATAAGGTAATTTTCCTTATACGCTTAAATTTCATTGTTATAGGATCTGTATGTTTTAACAATGTTAAATGGCATTTATAGGCACCTGAAGCAAGCACAGCTGAATCCATTCAATCACAACCAATTGCTGAGTCGTCCATTCAACCACAGCCAATTAGTGAAGGAGCTGTTGGTACTTGAAGTACTACAAAGTCCAGCAAAAAGGATATGAAGGTGTACACTCAACCAAGCTTTTACATTTCATGAGTTACATAAAAACATAATTGTACTGGTATACATCTAAGTTCTCTTTTTATTTTAATTGCAGCCTGTGGATGGTACAAATATGAATGGAGGTAACAGGGCTGATGGCCCCACTGCAACAGTAAAAAGAGCCAGAGCTCCAACTGTTACTGATGTCCTGCGAAAGTTAAGGCCAAAGAGATCAAAAGCCTATGAAGGCTTAATTACCTGCCAGAATAGTGGCCTAGCCGTAGTTAGAATAGCTTTTGGAATATTTGTAGTTGCTGAATGAAATTGAACATTTGGTGAATCTATGTTCTGGGAACAGATTTTGGGTTGAAGTTCTTGGCAACCACTAAATTAATGTTATGTGATATGGCTGATGTGATGTTGTAGTTGCTGAATGAATCTGGAATCATTTGTTGTATATCTCTTCTGGGAACAGATTCTGTGAACAAATTTTGGTGTCTGTTATGTGAAATGGCAACTACATTTATTTTTGTCTTATTTTTCTGTCATCTATATAGGTTGTAGTTGCTGAATGAATCTGGAAACATTTGTTGTATATATGATAGCCCCACCTTCCCCTAAGGTGAACCAAAGGGGTTAGCGGACTGTCTGCCCAACTCTCGTCAGGACTAACGGTTCAGTTTAGAGCGATCTAATACGTTCTCGAACATACAAACGCGCGTAAACAAGTCAAAATCACAAAATAAAAAAAAATGAAATCGGAGCCGGTCATGGACAGTAACTGCCACGTCAGAATCCGGCAGCAAAAAAAAAATAATTTTGTTTCGTCGTTTGAAATCCGAATCTGTCCGAATTCTCACCCAACATCAATCAAACATTTATACGTTGAAATTAAGCATATACAATCCAAAATGGCATACAAAAGTTATTCAAAAGTTGATACATGTACGGTTTGTCAAATCGAAAGAGAAAACGGACCCAAAACTACATTTAGGGTTTCAATCAATGAGCTATACAAAAGATATGTCAATCTAGCTCAATTCGGCAACCAACTATCAAATCCAGTCCAAAAGTATTTATTTTCCTATAAGGAAAACAAAAGGGACAGAGTGAGCTTACGCCCAGTGGTATACTATCACTCAAGCAACCAAGTTATATAGGCATAAAGCGGTCAAGAAAGAAAAAAACCAAGATCACACATTAACAAGATGGGTAAAAGGATACGGACGGCTCTCAAGATCCCCTTTCCTCGCTCGTACTCTTGATCGGACTTCATTGATAGTTGAAGTGGAGAGTTTTCCTTTCTTTCTTCCTTGGAGAGAGCCGGCTTCAAGGTGCTTGAAATGGAGATGATTTTGGTAATTTTTTGGTTTATTTGGTCAATTGGTAAAAAAGTGAATAGTAGTCAAAATGTAAGGTTTAATCATATTGAGGCTCTGACTTGTTTTGGTTGAAAAAGTTAAAAATTGACAAATTCTGGTGAGGAAGGGAAACTTGTTACAATTAAAAGAGGCATGCCCTTTTTAACTGACCCTGATGCTATAACTACGCTTATATAATCATCTTATAGAAACATCTTATAGAAAAATTAAAGTAGGATCATTTCCATTGAATTTCTCTCTTTTTTTTATTTTTAAAGGGATGCCACCCCAAATTTATTATTAAAATACTGGAAAAAAAAGGAGTGGAACATAAACCATGTCTCCAAAATACATAGCAAAATTAAACCCAAAAATGAGAAGTACTACTCCCTTACAAAACCTTTGATCAACACTTCCTAATTGAAGGCTTTCCATTGAATTTTTCTCTATTGATCCTACCATTATCTATATCTAAAATTTTATAACTCCATAAAATCATCTGATTATGTCATTGTTTTTCTTTTAATATCTAAATCAACATACTAAAAAATGATATTCTTTTAAGAATATTTTGATATTCAATTTATAGGAAACTTTTAAACTGTAAAACATGAGTCAAAATTGTAACAAAATTGAAATGATTAATTAGAGGGTAAAACTTAGTCAAATTTTTAATGAAATTTTATAAATTGCTAACACAAAATTTTATATATAACTAACACAAATGATGAAATATATTATGAATGGTGTTGATTTTAAAAATAAATTTAAAATTAAATTTATGAGAGTATGATGGAGAGAAATTCTCTCCGATACAATTGAGAGGAGCCTAGTTGTGAATAGTTATGTGTCACCAGTTACCCATCCACTATACATCCTGGCCATAGGTTGGCCAGAGGCCTTAGGCATGTTTCATTCTATTGCAAGTACTATATGTTATACCAAGTTACCTAACACCGACCTTGGAGGAAATATAAGGACTATTGCAAGTACCTGGGAAGGGTTACCTTATGATATACCCAACTAGTGGAACCAAAGAACAGTTTTGTAGCCAAACAACAGGTCTACTACTTTCAGTTTTGGGTCGATAAATATAAAGCTCATACTTGGGTCACAAAATATTTGAGTTGTGAATCTAATTCGGATTTAGTTTAAATTCACTTATTACTTCTTAAGTTTTTTAATATAATTACTATAACTATTATGTTCTAAAGCTAATTTAACATCCACAAGATCACAACATTAAAACTATATGCGAACCAATAACAATTAATTACAAAGTATATAAACCAAGAATTTTTCAACAATAATATATCCAATTGGTTCAAAGTACATGGAAAATAGTAATAAAACATAATCAACAATTAATACATCTTCAAAGGTTCTCAATTTGCTCATACTAAACTTTGTTTTTCTGAATCTTTTGACATAATTTTTTATATTTAATATTTCTTATATATATTAATATATCATAAGTATAAAGTATTAGCATTTTATATTTAGATATATAATTATATATACATATATCAAAATATGAATATATTATACATAATTATATATATATATATATGCAAATTAAAGGGTCGGACCTATATTGGGTTGGAACCTAATGAGGTCCAAATTCTACTCATATTTAATTCAGACCTAATATTTAAGCCCAATATTAGCTCAAGTCCATAAAAGATTAGACTCGTGGACTTTTTCTCGGACCAAACAAGCCGAACTTAAGTTGGTCCAACCTCATTGACAGTCCTAACTTCAACACATAGCTTAATCTCTAAAAATCACTCGACTTGCACAATACACTACCAACATACGAGCAAATTTATGCTCCAGCACATACCCAACTTGCGCAATACACTACCAACATACGAGTAGGAGGTATTAGGTCCGGTCCGAGAGGTGTTAGGTCCAGTCCCAAAAAATTGATGAAAGGATTGTGATTCGATCAAATTGAACTACATCCACGGGTGGAGGAGAAGCAGAATTTCACCCTCTCGTTAAAAGGTCGAGCCTATATTGGGTTGGAGCCTAATGAGGTCCAAATTCAACTCATATTTAATTCAGGCATGATATTTAAGCCCAATATTAGCTCAAGTCAATAAAAGATTAGACTCATGGACTTTTTCTTGGACTAAACAAGCTGAACTTGAGTTGGTCCAACCTCATTGGCAGTCCTAACTTGAACACATAGCTTAATCTCTAAAACACACTCGACTTGCACAATACACTACCAACACACGAGCAAATTTATGCTCCAACACATACCCAACTTGCGCAATACACTACCAACATACGAGTAGGAGGTATTAGGTCCGGTCCCTAGAGGTGTTAGGTCCAGTCCCAAAAAATTGATGAAAGGGTTGTGATTCGCGGTGAAATTGAACTACATCCACGGGTGGAGGAGAAGCAGAATTTCACTATAAAAAAGAGAGTACAAAAACTTTAAAACTCAATAGAGCCCAAAATATTTTACTACAAAAGGTTTAATGATCCAAAAGCCTAAATAACCCACTAAAAACTCCCTTGATTTGGTGAACTTCTCACCAAAGACGCGCTCCATTTATAACCAACAAAGAGGAAAACTCCTTAATAAAACAACTAATGTGGGACAAAACCACACATAACAAGTGGTACAATATATACTAATTGGACTTAATTAGTAATTGTAGAGTTCAGGTCAAAGTGTCTAAAAGAAAAGTTTGAGTTACAATATAGAGTAATTGATACTGTTGGGGTGTATTGAGTCCAAAACAAATTTTGATGGAAACTGCGAATCCTTGAAACCAAAATTTGGAAAGAATTTGTTCTATATATAGTGTACAAAAGTCCCTCAAGGAACATGAGAGAATTTGATTAGCAAGTAGCCTCCTTTCCTTGGTTCCTTTTGCAAAAAAACGTTTTTATTAGCGTTGTATCCTGAAGTGTACTATGGAGCTTCTTTTCATTGTTGTTCATTTTGAAGCGTGGACTTGTTTAGGTACTATGTGGATTTTGTTGATGTTAGTAGACCAGGAATGGGCAAGAACAACTATTAGTAAAACTATTTTTGAACGATATAAAAATGCTTCAACAAGTTGTAACTCTTTATCAACTGTTGGTATGCTTTCATAATAGAGATGTTATAATAATTCATTGTTCATATGGATCGTATATACTATAGTTATGTTAGAATTATGTAACATTATTTGAACCTTACATTTCGAATTTTTGCTATGCTAGCAAAATTCTATTGCCACTAAACCGCCTATGCCCTTGCTCTAGGAAACCTGGTCTGAATTTGTGGCTCAAACATTCAGCCAATGCAACCTTGCTTCTCGTGAATTCAA